GAGGTATTTCTAGTCTAATACGATTTATATTCAAAATGACAAAATTGCCTTTTACAATTAAAAAAAAAAAAAATGAACTTGGCACAAATATTAACAAAAAATTCAGGAAGGCTTTTCCTACCACTTACAAATTCAAATTTTAAAGTAAATTATTCCATAAAGGCCAAAATTACTTAAATCTAGGTGAAGTTTTGACCCTTTTGTATAGTTGCAAGAACCTTAAGGGTTTATGTTATATTGATTGTTTTTGTATATCTCTGAAGGGAAACAATTCATGACAAAAACTAAACTGTCAAATTTTGCAAGCAATATAGGTCAACATAATCTAGGTCATTTTTTACATAGAAATCGATTGTAGTGTTCAAATTTAATCTTGAATTCACCATTTAGTTTCAAAGTCAGCTCACATTAACTAGTTTACAGAGAATACATTTAATAATTTTTTTTCAATATCCTTGTATTCGTTTTTCTGATGAATGCCGTCAAGAGTATTCATTCATTTAACATGACTGAATTCATTCTCTGCATTTGATAATTACAAATTCACAGAAAACTACCTTGATTTTTCCAATTGCAAATGAAAAGTTAAGCAAAGTGCATATTAAAATTATACGACTGTTTATTCACTGCAAAACTTGACATCTACCCATATTTTTATGGAAATATGAATATTCAAATAAGTAAATAGAGCGAACATTGAATTGATAACTATTTGCAAAGAGCTCGTTTGTATTTTACTGATAAATAATATTTGAAAAAATCACACCATAGAGCTCTACGTTTCCATTTAATTAAAGCAGTTCTCGATCACTCAAAGCGGCATAGAAACAAAACTACCCATGCGGAAATAACTCAGAAACGATTTGCATAATACCGCATCGCGCAAATGCCATTTTCAATCGTGCGCAGCGCGGTTCGGAGAAAAAAATAATAATGCGAACGGATATGAAAAGGAAATACGACGAGAGGTGGGATATCGTTGCACAATTTTGATCTGCACGTTGTTTGATTTGCATCCATTTTTCTTCTCCCCTTTAATTTCAACGGATAATTTGATATACCGACGGATCAAAGCGAGCACCGCTTTATAATCAAAGTAATTCCACGTGATCCAATTTTTTTTTTTTACAAACAAACATGCATGTGTGCGTCCATTACACGACTGTAATCTTTTTTACATTCACGCTGACATATAATTAAAAAAATAAAACCGACGCTGAATGCAAACGGATTAAGTAAGTCCATTCATTTTTGTTTATGTTCTGCACTAGCGACAATGTGGATTTTTTAATTGAGTTTTATCCGGTGAATCTCAGCGTCCATATATAATTGTTGTTGACGCAAAGCAACCAGTGGACAGTTTCGCAAGCTGGACAAGAGCTGTTGGCCAAGTTTCATTTATTAACCAATTCATGTAAGCAAAACGTATACCATGTTTCAGAATCGGTTGTTTAAATTTTAATTAATGCAAATATTTATAACGGGACTTTTGCTGAAATTAATTATTTGTATTAATAAAAATATTTATTATAAAACATTGGATTACATTAATTCCATTAATTATTCACGACTTCAGCATTGCATGTAACGTAAATATTTAATTTTAATTGGATTTTTTGTCAATACGTCAGTAATTTTATAAATATATCGTCTTTATTTTTCTACTATTAATTATTTAAAACAAGAATAAATTTTTTTGCAAAGTTTATAATTAAAAATTATATGAAAAAATTTATTTCAAAACAATTTTTTTTTAAACGTAATTAAAAATTTAAAACAAATTACATTCTTTAAATGTGTTTTTGAAATTAAATATCTTTGATTCTACAAAGTATAATATTCATTCCTGTCAACAACATGCACATGAAAAAAGGAAATACCAACTGGACAATGAATAACAAAGTGGCAAGTCGTATAATTAATATGCATTCGAATCACGCGCCCATGTGCCTTTAATGCGTGTCTCGCTTGCTCGAACGTAATTACGAGTGAACAGAGTGAGCTTTTAATTTTTAATCACGTTACATTACTGGTTTTTGTTTCGCTCGGGCAGTGCTTTATTCCTCCCCGGCGACAAGCGGAATGGAAATTTCATCTTTTTCTACACGTGCGCACGGCGGCTTAATTTCTTTTGAATGCTGGAGAATTATTCGGAAAAGAGAGACTCCGGTCCGGGCCATTCATCACTTTTAAGGAGTAATTTATGGCAACTTGCAAGGGAAGAAAGAGGGATGCCTCACAAAGGGGAGGAAAACTTTGAGCAAAAATAAATTATTCACCGCTGCTAATTAAAGAGGATTCGAGTCAGTGGCACACGGACGGAAAAGAATAAAAAAAATCACTTCTGCTTCCTGCCCCGTAATCGAATTTGCATAAGAGGCTTCCTCGGCTAAATAAAAAAAATAATCTGATTTGAACGATTTGCCAGTGGGGAAAAAATTCTTGGCTTCATTAGGAAAAAAAACCTGTTACACAAAAGTTTAATTATTATTTCTTCCGTGAAAGAACCAAGTTCTCACAATTTCGTCCGGGGACGAAAAAAGTTGGACGAGAGGAAATTTAATTTTCGGCTGCGCCCAATATTAAATTTTTTGCTCGCTCATTCTAGAGAGAGGAGGAAAGAAGGAAGGTTTTGCAATAGTCGATTTTTTGCCGCCTGCTTTTTGCGCAAGTATTTGCATTTAGTTTAAATACACTTGACGAAGAACGAAGCAACGACGAGCCTCTCCATGAATGTTTAAAAGCCTGCTCTCTTATCAAAAACACAGGGACTGAATTAATTAAATTTCACCAGATTTACTCTCTGCTCTCGCAACAACCGGCCCTCCTTTGCAAACACGCACTGAATATTCTGCAAATTTACGACGCGGAATTTGCCCGGCGAGCATATTTCCTCCTAATTAAAATTCACTCGTTTCTCTCCAAAAACAAATTTATGTTTTATCTCGCAACAAGTTAAGCAAAACAAAAACCAGCCTCACCAATGCATCAAAGAGTGGAACGCCGTTTGATCATCCTATGACGTGAGCAGAGGCGCACGCAGAAAATCGAATCTAATACAAATGTGATTATTTGTGAGCCCAGCTGGAAAGGTTTCCCAATCAAATCAGACGCTCGCATGCCCACCCGCACGGAAAAGTTTGATACATATTCGATTTAGCAGTGTTGAGTTTTATCCTTCCTTGCGCCACTTCTCTCTCTGGCCGGAAAATTGAGCGCCATGTATTTCATTAATACATACCCGAGAGAAAGAGGAAAATGAAATTTTCCTCTGTACGGTAAAAAGTTTCCCACATCCGAGCTGTTGTTTTCACATCATTTATACGGTCTCTTTCCTCCCTTGGATAACCAAAATAAAACCTCCTTTAGAAAGCTTATCAGAGGCTGTCTCCCTCTCGCCACGACGAAGATCGGGGACAAGGGAAAGATGAACTGCTACTCTTTTGCCCTGCGGAATTTCCCCGAGGACGGAGATTGTTTTCGCAGTTTAGGTGGAAAATAAAATTCCTAGCGAAATTTATGGACCAGCCAAGTGTGTATGTAATTTCGTAATATCCTCTGGGAACATGTACGTATAGCATCTCGATTTTGGAAAAACGGGTTAAGTTGATTTTTGTGCTGCGGCAAAGCCTTGGAGAATAAACGTGCGTGTTTCGTGCCACGCTGGTTGCATAATACATGCGAGTTAGATAGGACCCCACTATCTATATGATCTATGATGGGAGAAATGTTTTAAAATAAAAATAAAAGCGCAGGGACACACAAATGTCATTCCATAGAGTGAGGCGGTTTTATGACACATTTAGTTTGAATTGAAAAACAAATGTAAATTTAAAATTTTTATCGACTGTGCAATGGTCAAAAAAGGAAACAAAAAGAGTGTTTTTTTAATGATTTCTATTTAGCCGAAGAGGTGATTTCTTTACCTTTATTTTACTTCTAAAATCATTTTCTGCTTGAAATAATTATGGCCGTGCCATGCAAGTAAAAAATAATTAAATTAAATAGCAATTATTTAATTTTTTACAGGATATAGATTTTGACACTTGTCGCAGTTGGGAAATTATGTATAAATTTACAAAATAATGAAGGTACGTTTATCTATCTATCCATCTATATTTTTAATACAAAACTCCAAATATAACTCAAATTTAACTTTTTAAAATAAAAATCTCCCCTTAAATTGTTTTCAAAAATTTAAATTTTAAAAGACATGTGTTTTGTCGCTTTGCCATGCACGGCTTTCATAATCAAATCTGTAGCAATAGTTCCGAGCGCCAACAGTGTTTCGAGGAAAGTGATTCATGCGTGTGTTTGCTATGCGGTGAGAAATGCACCCAATATCATCTGGCTGAGTGCAACCACCGAGTGCTTAGCATTAATGACTATTCTAAAAATAAGTGAAAAACTTTGGAAACCCTGTCGCGCAAACTGATAAAATAAATTGTGAATCTTAATTTTAACCTTCTAAGATGTAAGTTGAAAGTTGTACTCAATTGAGTTTTCAATAAAGACCATATATATAAAAATTTAAATTTGATGTTAAAGTTGGACATGTAAACTACGAAACTTATCACTTAATATTAAAAAAAAAAAAAATGCTCAGGTCCACTGCTTTCATTTCCTCGTCAACCAAATGGCAATTTTTTGCATCTTTAATGTTCGTATTTGTAGTTCTTGCTTTATTTGCATTATGTGAACGTTTTTAATCAATCAATCAATTATTATAATTATAAAGTTAAATGGGTCAGATATGGCTAATGAATTATGTTTATCTCTAATCTACACCATTTCAAGGAACTGGCTAACTGTAAAATTTATATACATATTTATTGTTTCTTTTTATAGCTCCGTTTTTTTTTATGGAGCTGGTGCAGTATTTAGTTAAAAAAATTAGATTAAATATTAAAAAAAAAATTATAAATATACTTAACAAAAAATATGATCAAATTGTTACATAAATGTTTATTTTACAAGTAATTAAAAATTTGTAAACTCACCATCAGGTATTGCACTAGAGGTCATGAGAAGATTGATGCAGGCCGCGCCAGTGCTGTGTCCGACGATGGTGACGTTGCTGGGGTCGCCTCCGAACGCGGCGATATTTTCCTGCACCCAGTGGAGGGCCGCAATTTGGTCCATGAGGCCGTAGTTGGCTGGCGATCTCATAAACCTGTCAGTGTTGGCGTTCAAGAAGCCTGGAAACAATAAAAGTGCAGGAATTCAGAGACGGGGTGACTGGGGGCGGTCGAGGGTAAGCAAGCCTTTCTCATTCACAATCTCCAGCAATATATTTTGCCGCTGCGTGTAGCAAAGGGCTTAGATGGCACACACACAGCACTTTGTAGGCAAGAAAGCAAGACTTTGTGTATACAATATAATATCACATAGTGGAGAGGGTTGGTCTTTTGTGCAGGCCGAACTGCGAAAAGAACAGCCTGCCCACCCTCGGCCAGCGCGCTCTCCTTTAAAGCAATCAATTACGCCCGAGTTTATCTTTATCTTGGAAATATATCCTTGCGCCGCCGCTGAGAAACTGCAGCACCGTGTTGATTTTAGGCGCCAGATTGTGCGCGTGTACATATTTTGCGTGTGTATACCGAGTTGGCAGCTCCGCCGAGATGATTAACCGAGCCCGCCGAGAGCCGCTTTCGGGATGATTTGCACAAAGCCAAAATTAATTTTCGCATTTAATCCCCGCTCTGAGGAGCTCTAACGCCGCCTGCGATTGTGTGCGCGGCAAGAAAAACAAGTTACCTCACTTACTTCTCATGCCTCTCAGCGAGAAGAAAGCAATTTTGTCAAAAGCGAAAAAGCTGCGGGGAGAAAGAGAGAGGGTTGCTCTTGAATGCGCAGGAATTTCTCAAATATAAGGCCAAAATTAGGGTTCTATATGCAGGGGTTTGCACTCGATTCCGACTGCTCGAATGGCCCCTCTAGGCGGTCAATGCGCACAATTTTCACCACGCCTTTTGACTTTTCTTACACCAGCAAAGTGAGCAAACAAAAACAAAGAAATTACATTGGATCTCGTGCGGTTGACGTGGTTTTTAAATGAAAAATTAACAATCAAAATATTTTGATGGTAATATATTTCTAAATAAAGATTTAAAATATTTGAAAACAAATAACTTCCATGATTTTCAATTCAAAACATTTTACAACTTTTTTTAATTTTTTTTTTTTTTTTTTTATTAAGGGTGATGAAATAGATTAACGTTCCATCATGTATATTACCTTTTACAGTGGAAATGTTTTGTTCCCTTTATTGATTCTTCGAATAGAACAAAAAATATTTGTTACCAGTTTTAATTTAAATTGTAACATAGAGAAAGTCAATGAAACCCACTTTTTCTTATCTCGGGTGTGTCTTTGACCATATTTTTTTTTTTATTAATTATTGAACTGTAATGAATGATGTGGGAATAAGTTAACATTAAATAAAAGGCACGTAAAAATGAGTATACCTAAATTTTGTTTGAGTTCATTGCGGAAAAGTTTGTTTTAAGCACGCGCTTAGCTGCTTCTTCGTGCGTGATTTTTTTAACAAGGAGAGTTTTCACAGATCATACCATGCGTACATTTTTAGTGTGCGACATTAAATTTTTTCTCTAAACGTTTCCATTAATTATACATGGAAAATGAAGGAAATTTATATTTTTAAAAACTCCAGCAAAATTCAAAATGGTCAAATTAAAACTTGATATTGGCAAAAATTGTCACAGTGAAATAATTGGAGTCGTTTCAGGCAACCTATACCACTGGTAAAAATAATTGAAACACCAAACATTGTTTCTAATAGCATTAATAGTAGAATTTAATTAACGGAATGAAATGTAATGGAAGTGAAGCCATGTTCTTTTTTTCATATCAAAGAGGAAGCAGTCAGATTTTCTTAATTACGTCTCATTGAAATTACATACCTTTTCATGGTAAACTCCCACGATATTTCTTCATTTCAAATTTTGCCCATTTCATTTCAACCCAAATTAATATAACGTGGGTCTGGACTCTTTTCACGGTTGAGCCTAATTACAGCAAATGGAAAGCCGGACTCCAATAAAATCTGCTTTCACAAGGGGGAGTTGGCAGTTTCATCATCGGCCTGTTTTTCTTTGGTAAAAAGCTTACTCGGCCAGCCAGCGTGCAGACCCACCCAGGCTTACAAGCAATGTTTTCGAAGTGTCACACTCCGATTTTCTTAAAAATTAGTGTGAGGCAGGGAAAAGGTGTCATGATAACCAAACAAACGTCCATTTTTGCCCTAATTGCCCAGGAGCTGCGTTACACGCATTTCAAATTTGGAAATTTATGCAACTTCACGACATGTATGTTTCGCATGCTGCATACTTACCTATATGAAGCACATTATGTCATATGGTAAGTATGCAGCACGCGAAACAGCGAAGTCATGAAGTTGCATAAATTTCCAAATTAGAAACGCTTGTAACGCAGCCCATGATCAACTTATAATTTTAATATAATAATATACCTTTATTCCTTTAATTTACGAATGAAGATACTTTATACATTTTCTAAAAATGTTGTGAAATAATGAAATTAGTTATTTCTATTCTATTTATAAATAAAAGTAATAATATCTTCATGTGAAGAACTATTTTGCCATACTACAAGAGTAGTTTGAATAAATCGAAATTTCGGATATTATCAAATGGCAAATATTGAAATAAAAAACGTTGTAAATTCTTTTTGATAGCTTTCATATTTATATAAAACGATATAAAATATTTATTTATTCTAAACTCTTTATAGAATTTACACCAAACAAAAACGTAAATAATTGCACAAATAAAAGCGTAGATATATTAAAAATATCTAGATATTTCAGTTTTTGGATTCACTTGGCATTCTCACAGTAATGGAATGACCAGAGGTGCTCGAAGCAAAGTAATTGGAGACACCAAGCACACTTCAAGAAGAACCTTTTGGTACATCCATTTTCTCCGCAGGTTCCAGTTTCTGTTGAAAAGCAGAACTGTGCCGGGGTCTCAAATGCTGGGGGCCTGGTCGGTCCAAGGTAACCGGCTTTCCAAAAGCCGTACTGGATTGCCGCTTGGAATCGTGGAGCGCTGAATTGGTTCATAGATATGGACACTAGCTTGATTATGGAGTTTCGCTCTGACAGTGTCACATCAACTCCCATTGCAATGATGCGATCTGAAAATTTTCGCAGGAAGCACTTTAGGGGTCTATTGAAATAGACATCTTGCGGCTGCACCCATCCAGTTGTGCCTGCAGGGATTTCAGCTATTGTTACTGACTTGGCCAAAGGCAAGTTGTCCAGAAGCTCGTCGTTCCACCAACCAAACCATTTGTCCCTCAGAAATCCTGACTTGCTTTTTAGGTGAGGAATCAGACACTTTTCAAAAAATATTCCATTTTGAAACTTGTGCATCTTTCCTGATTTTGTAGCAAGTAAAACTAAATTGGGAGGCCGGAAAATCTTCTTTAACACAGAGGGGCCAAATTTCCCAGTTGTTTCCTGCAGAATCAGCAAACTAGGGGAGTGTAGGCGGCCGTCAGCGGATGTGACAGGAAGTATGGTAGATGAGTGCGTAAGAGCATGTTTGCTTTGTATCAACTGAAACAATATAATTCAATTCATTTTATTGACTTAAGGCATGAAATTACTAACAAAAAAATAATAATTTAATAATATTTTTTATAATCTTTATAAAAAATTAAACCGCTCCTTGATGTCTTTTAATGAGAATCATGGTATATTTTAATATTCAATCAAATATCATTGATAAATATTAAAATTGTAACAATAAGTATGTAATTTTATATAGATATATATTTTTTATAACATACCTTCCAAACATTGCTGGCTCCTATCAAGTCAAGGGTTCTCCCGGTGTGAATTTCTCTCACAAGTCCCATGTGATCCGCGTTGAACACATTCGATGCGCCTATCTCCTTGACTAGTGCAGCCCCGTCTTTGACAAATTCTTTCCCTTGCTGAATGAGCTCCTCTTCTCTCTCGATAGAAGCTTTCGTCATAAACTTTGTGACTTTGCGATCACCAACTCCAAATCGCCTTTTCCAGTTGTAAACAAACGAGCGTGATGCAAAGAAGTTTGTCAATTTAGCTGTTTTTCCTTCATCAGCAGCCCACTCCATGAGATCACAGTCATGTATCAAATATCCATTTTCACGCGCATTGTCGAAGCGTCTCTTCACGGCTGCAACATATATATTTTTTTATTTATTAAAAAATTATTTTACAACATTTCATAATAATAACAAATAAAAATATCAATTGACATTTACAGTTCCATTAATATAATAATAATTATAGTTATGTAATTTAAATCTTTCTTTATTAATTAGAATTTTTTAAATCTTTAATATTTTTTATTTTAATTTATAAATTTATTATTAATTTAAAAAAATTAACAGTTTCTTCATAATTATTTAAATATATTTTCTTATTAATAGTTTGAATGCTGAAACTTGAGGTTTTATGTTACCTAAATATACAGCAGCTAATTTGTTCAGTCTATCTCCTCCATTTTCCAGCTGCGATTTCCATCTGTATAGTTGTCTCCTACTCGTGACGTATCTAAAGCGGTGCTGCACAGATTCAATAGGACGAAGTTTTCCTTTTGTGGCTCTCCAGTAGTTAACAGCATTTTGCTTTTCCTTCAGACTAACAACAATTTGTACTGCACCTAAAGGGTTGTCATCATCTGGGCAGTACTCGGCGTTGTCGCCCTCAATTTGTTCAGCGTGTTGCCCACGTGGATGAATCGAGTGTCTTGTTTCCAGAGTATTGTCATGAACATCGTAATCATTTTGCGTTTCCAGTGAGTCAACCAAGTCGTCAATTAGGAGTTCACTAGTAGTCTCATGCTGATAGTCGAGTGTAGTTTCTTGGATAATTTTGTCAATGCTGTTGAAGTCACATATTATTGCTAAAAAAAAAAAGGAAGTTGCTTGTTTTAAAAACTTGTCATTCAATTAATAATAGTGAATATTACCCTTCAGATGGCTGGTCAATTGTAATTCGATTAGGGTAGGAACTGTGGTTTTCAAAGTATCAAATCCACAGTCGTAAATCAATTGTTGTATAACGTTGTGAACAGAAATTATTTGATCACTCATTTTCAATAAATAAAAAACACATCTATTTCCTCGTGTGTTTTTCCAAGAACTGATTTTATGGACTGATTGTGAATTGAGGGTGAAGTTGGTTCGACCGTGCTCTGGAATGCGCTCCCTGCATTCTTAAAATTACTAGAGCACCCTGCAAGTTTTGCATGGGCACTTCGTCCTTATGTTGTTATGTTTATACAGAACTTGTTCCAAGGTCGCAGAAAAGTTCATCGTCGGTGGCAGATAAATTCCAATAAATTCAATACGGCCATAAAAGGGAAGAAGAATAAAAATCGTCAAAATTGCACATTATTATTCTTCATAAAGCCACAATTTTTGTTGAACTTTTTTTAAATGCAAAATTAAATTGGCAAAACAATTTAAATTAAATTTTAATTACAAGTAAAATTAAATTTCAATATTTTCAATAAAATTTAAATATAATATTTTCATTCAAATCTAATTTTAACATAATATATTTGAAGATTTAGTTTTCTAAATTTAATTAACATTTTTAAATAATTATAATTAAAAAAAACATCGATTAAATAAAGCATCAGAAAACTGAATTTTAACCTAAAATTCTTGATTCAAAAATTTAAGAAAATATTGATTAAAAAAATGGTCATTTAACTCTTTAAGATAGATGATATTTTTGCAAGGGCTCAATTTCTTTTTAAATTGCAAATATACGCCAAGATCAAAATAACCAAAATAGCATTCTTTTCCGAGCCGTTTTTCAATGATATTGTCTATGCTATGATCACTAAAAATCTATTCCTGTTAAGAGTAATAAAACACCAGTCTTGCTCCAATCAACTTTCACTATCATTTTAATAATAAATAAATTATAAATTAATTTTCGGTTTCATTTTTATATACATATAAACTTTTGAAACGTTTGTCAAAAATTACTAATGTAAATAATGAAAAAATATTGCAAGTAAAAATTTTAAAATTAAAAATTATTTCACTTGTCCAAACAAGTAAAATTACCATTTCAAAACAATATATAATAACACAAAAAAATAATTCTTTTTAACTTAACAGCCTAGAAATATAAAGTGCATCCATCAACTTTTTAGATTGCCCAGATTTAATTATTAAGGAACGCTGAATAGTTTTTAATGGTTAAAGACCTTTTTATATAAAATTTCAACTAAAACTTTATACTTCTTAAAAATTTTGAATTTGGGCTGCGTTACAAGCGTTTCTAATTTGGAAATTTATGCAACTTCATGACTTCGCTGTTTCGCGTGCTGCATACTTACCATATGACATAATGTGCTTCATATAGGTAAGTATGCAGCATGCGAAACATACATGTCGTGAAGTTGCATAAATTTCCAAATTTGAAATGCGTGTAACGCAGCTCCTGGGAAATTAGGGCAAAAATGGACGTTTGTTTGGTTATCATGACACCTTTTCCCTGCCTCACACTAATTTTTAAGAAAATCGGAGTGTGACACTTCGAAAACATTGCTTGTTAGTACCTGTTATCCCGCCTAAACCCAGAGCAGTCGACGTTGCAAAAGCAAGCTCTCTTTTCCTTTTCCTCCTCCGGCAGCAGCGGTCACGACAGACAAAAAGAAGCAGCCAGACGAAAAAAAGTGCAATTTGCGCGCAAAATGATCCGTATTACGGCCCAGGCGGAACTTCAACGAAGGGGCCACGAGTCTCAGGGGGCGCCGAAATTGGCAGCCGGGCTTAGCGGGGGGAAGTTTTTGGCCCACTTTCGGCGACACCCTTGGGCCCTCAAAGATCGTGTGTAAAAAATAAAGAGGAGCAAATTATTTATCGCCACTTGATCTCTCGATGGCTGAACTGAGCGCGGGCGAAGATTAATGACGCGCCCTCTAACTCTCTGTGTGCGGTGCGATGTCGTTAAAAGTGTGCCCGCGCTTGAGAATCTGATCATGTGCAGTTGACAGAGTGGAACAATGAGATAATGGCGCGGATATTATTTGCAAGATTAATAAACGCCACCAGTGTGACGCGGAAAAGTATATTGTGTTGATGCGCCGTGATTGAAAGCGTCTGTCCGCCATTTATCACGCGAGCGCCACTGCACGACAAATGAAAAACAGCAGATCCGCAGAGAGAGCAAAGTGTGTGCGAAATTAGTTCGGGGGTTACAAATTGCTGACACGTTTTGCAGACGTTTCTGAAAATGATAACGTTTTTGGCAATGATGGAGAGCATCAGTGCTCGGCAAATCTGCTGAATTCTCTTTTATGGAAAATCAAAATTTATCGCAATAGTTATTAAGGGCATTCAAAAACTGCAACATTTTCAAGAATAAGATGGACATAAAATTATAAGCAATTTATTTTATTGTAAAAAAATGAGCACCTCAATTTTTCTTTATATGTTTGACCATTTCCTAAAGTAAAAAACCAAATGAATAAACAATAATAACTTTTTCAATACATTTTGCGGAGCAATAATTTTAATTTAAAATTCTTCGCATATGAATGCACCAATGGAAAATTCACCAAGGGCATTAATTTCCGGCTTGCCATTAAAGAGGGTATTATAAGAGACGAGCGGTCCACCGTCATATGCTCCGTTTGCACCGAACCTGATTATATGAGAGGGATTTAACTTGGTCGGAAAAAAAGTTGTTTGCGTTTCGCAATTGTAGCTGTATCCACTCGTCACGTCGACCACGACAGAATTTGTTATTGCCCAGCATCGGTTTTTCCAAGTGGTCCATTGAACTTCAAAGAAATTTCAATTAAAAATTGTTGTTGCAAATTTATGCAGGAACCTACGAAGCGGATTTACACAATTTGTGGCTCTGACATAATTTGAGGGCGTCACCAATCGCATTCCAACCTTACAGCAAAAACTCACTGCCAGTGAGTGTATTAAGGGCTATCAGAAAAAAATAATTATAGACCAGTGCTTCAATTTTTCTTGCCACTTACTCCTTGATAACCAACAATGTAAGTTTTTAAATCAGTGCATTTGCAGGCCCACGTTTTGTTGACAAAGTTACCGCATGTAGACGCGTCTAAATATTTAATTTTTTTTATTTATAGTTATTTTAATTATCTTTTTTCATTAATTTCATACTCAGATTTAATGCATTTAATTGGTCCTTCAAAGGCTTCTATTTTAAAATCACTTAATTAAATTGTTGTTAAAATAGTAATGGATTCCGTACATCAACGATGCAAGTTTCATTTGAAGCACAACCGGTAGACTTGGTAAACAGCCCATCACTCTTCAAATTTGATCAGATAAAATATAATAAAATTCTCATTCCAGATGTTCACCTGCGCAGTTTGATTGTCCAAATCTTTTATGATTTGGTCAAACACTGTTGTCGCCTTGTCCCTGGCACATTTAGCCAATTCATATGCCTTGTCACACACATCCATTCCAGCTTCATTATTATTATTAATTATTAATATTAATATATGTTCCATTCAATGAAAATATTTGAAATTTACTTGATTTGTTGTTGCATTCATCTACAATGCCCATATTCTTCATCAACTCGCTCATGTTTTGTAGAGCCATGGTCTCGAGAATTGCAAAAACCTTGCTCTCCACAATCATTCCACCAACAATCTTCCCAGAAGTTAAATTAATTATTGTTTTATTGTGTATATAATAAGGTTTTAATTGAATTTTACCAGCCCTATGGCATCTCCAACACATTGTACGAAGCACTAACAATATTTTAATTGATTATTTTCTATACATTATGCAAAACCATGTACCTTCATCCGCTTGTCTAACGTCGTCGCTTTTCTCAGCAAATCAATTTCGGCTAAATTATTTATTTTTATTTAAACTTCAGGATGATTTTATGAAATATACTTGAAGTGACGCCGTAAATGATTGTGCACTCGTCCACAATCGCCTGCTTTTCATTCTTTGACTGCGGATTGCGTCTTTTCTACATGAAATTCTGAAATTTAATATTTTTAAGTCCAACTAATTTTATTAAAAAAATACTTCGCAAATGTATCTGAATTTAGTCTGCCCTTCGTAATCTGCAAGAAGAACTGAACGCATGTCGCGCCAAATGTGGACGGCCACATAGTTCTCCTTTCCTCCTGCGTTGTCCGGTTGTCCAGGCATCCACTTTGTTTCATTTCGGAACAGCCGTTTGGCCGAACAATAACCAAAATTTGACTCGCAGCCCTCGTCTGTACCGGAAGTCCAGAAGGTCAAATTCTGGGCCTCTTTATTGGCAATTTGTATGAAATTAATGCTTATTTCAGATATAAATTTCGCTACTTGCCTCCTCCCATTTGGGAAGAGTTGAAAATGTTTGCTAAAGCATCGTACTTGTGCTTCGCATCCAAACTCATCAAAGACATGCCCAAATTACAACAGGTCTTCATGGCATCCAAATACTTCAATTTTTTATTTTTGTTTTAGATATTTTAGTTTCATTCCAAAAAATATGAGTTAATACTCATATTTACAGTTTTAGTGTTATTTTGGGCGCTGAAGAGATAGGTGCGCAATTTCTGTGTTACCCACTTTCCATGAAGAGTACGGTCTAAAATTGAAGAAAACTTAAATAGAAAATTCAATTGATATCTCCTGGATTTACTTTTTATGGTTAATGCTTTATCTGAACCAAACATGGTGAAAAGCAGAGGCTGTAATTTTTTTCATTGAATTTATATTTTTTTCTTAAAATTGATCAAGAAAGTTCGTACGTCTTCCTGGCACGTGACGTTTGGACAAACAGGACTGGAGCACTTAGGAGGCTTTGTTGGAGGGCCCTGATAATAAATATCAAATCAATAGAAATCGGGAGGAAGAAATTGTTTTAATTCTAACTTGGCAAGCAAAAATTAAAGTGTCCGAGCATCGTCTGTCCTTGATCGAAATGTTGCCATTTGCTTTAGAAATTTGCATTTGGATACAGTTCTGGTCCTTCGTTAGGTTTGCTAAGGGGAGGACACCCTGCTGCCAGGGCAGGGATGCGGCAACAAGTTACCGCAGACACAACTTACCTGACAAAGCGACACAAGCTACAAGCCGGTGCTATACAGATCACGTGATACACGTCACGTGACACATTTTTCTCAGCATATATTGGGACACAAGTTACACGCGGAAATTTTAAATCTGTATAAGTCAATCCTAAGCAATACTGAGAGTATATTAGCAAAAAAATAGTTGTAATTCATGTATTAGTAACTCAATGAAAGCCTCAAACTTGGGAAACTTTTTATTTTAAAAAAATGATTTATTTTCTAAATCAAACTAAAACTTTGCCAACATGAAGCTCAACGCATTAATTTAAAAAGAATTACAGAAATTACCGTGTTAATGCCAACAATTGATCAGCTAGGACCTAAGACAGAATTTACACTTTTCACTTAGCTAAAATTAAAAATTACCAATTTTGCCACCAGTTAGTTTAATTTCTTTGTCTCTTGTTCAATTTTTACGCTTCTTATTGTTAGCAGGAGATTTTATTAATTTTAATGTTTAATTGTTACAGCATCACATTGTTTACATTCAATTGTTAAAAACAATTTATCTGAAAAAAAACTTAATTCTTGGACAAAACGGCACCATCACTAGCAAGGATTTTGCTTAAATTTCCGAGATCAAAAAGACTCCAGCATCCACTGCAGCGAGCTCTAAATTTTTAAATAGTAGTACTGCGTAAAATTTACTCTCTAGCGGCTTCATAAGGAAAATTTAATATATAATTACAGATGGATGTTAATTCAAAACAGATTATTGTTTCAAATGAAAATATTAAAGACAATTATAAAATTATGAGATTATTAGGATTGAAAATGAATGAAGTAAACAACTCAAATAATTATTGAAAAGTGAATTTTTAAATAAAATCAGCAAGAAGTTATTAAAATTGCTTTTAAACTTCATTAAATTCAAAATTTATCATAAAACTGATCAATTTTGCTTTGCTTATTCAAAGTTTCGCGCTTGTAACTTGTGTCTAAATGAATTTTACAAAAAAAGGAGGGGCTTGTAGCTTCTGTCCTCCTCGTTTGTAAGGTGTGTCTGCGGTAACTTGTCTCCTACAACCGCCAGGGCACGGAGCCATTCACATTGCACCAACTCAACTTTTCGCTCGCCAGGTCCTTCATCCCGCCCGTCCAGTAGTTTATATTATACATCCAGCTCTTAGCTTGAGAAAAATGTTGGATTGATTTTTGAATTTAAGTAAGTTTCTATAATTTAAAATTTGAACCTTGGAGTTTCATGCATTCGAGCTTCTGTTTGCTCTCAAAGGCGAACGGCTGCATGTTTAAGCTGAAACACTTAGCTGAGTTTTGCTGCCAAGTGCCCTAGGATTATAACTTTCTATGAACAAAAAATGTGAGAAAAGTGGTAATGAATTTAAACCAGTGATTTTCCCAGCAAGAGAGTTTGACCGCACGCATCAAGCCAAAAGCCGTGCATGTTCGGATCTATTTAATGAAAAAATTTGAAAATATTTTTCAACCTTTCTGAAGTGCAAACCCGCAATGGCTCCATTTGTTACAAAGAGGGACCTCTGTTAATTTTTGTTTGTAATAAGTATGCGTCTGTGAAAGTTTAAATAAGAAATATTCATTTTGTTCGTACATTGACAGCGGTGTTAGTTTCCGGTTTACATTTCCCGACCAGAGTTGGCTACATTACCAAAATGAAGCAGAAAAAGGAAACATAATATAGAGCGAGTGACGTACGTCAATTGTTGTCGTACTTCCTCTTGTGGTTGACGTCATTGCTGCCATAGATGACGTTGATTTTGTCGTTGTGGTTAACGCTGGTACTGTTGCGATTGACGTTTTATTTGTTGTAATGATAGGCATTATTGTTGAGAGGGTTGAAGATGATTTTGATGTTGTAGTTGAAATATTTGTATTAATGATAGACGTTTTTGTTGATAGGGTAGGATTTGACATTAATGTTGTGGTTGAAATATTTCTTATGGTTGGCATTGTTGCTGTCAATAATGTTGTGGTTGTTGTAACTTGTTCTACTGTGGTTGAAGTTATTTCTTCTGCTGTGGTTGACGCTAATTCTTCTGTTGTTGTGGTTGATTTTGATGTCGTTGGTAAAGTCGTAAATGAAGAGGTGGTTGTTGCTTCTGAAGTTTCGGCTAAATTGTTGCTTTGAGAATTCGAATCCGTAGAAAAGTTTAGTGATGCGGTAACAGTTGTTTCTAAATCAAACGTTGTTGTAATCCCAAGAAGAGTAGTATTTGTATCTAAGTCCGTTGCTGTTTCACTGAATGTGTCTGTCATTGAGTTAATTGAAACGGTGTTTTCTGTTTCTGAAATCGTGTCTGTGGTAGCAGAGAGGATTGGTGAAGAAAGCGTTGCAGGCTGACGACTTCTCAGTTTAGTGAAATTTGAAGTTTTCTGGACGATTTAAAACATTTCTATTTTCAACGCGGCAGAATAAAAGTATGAAATAATACCAATTTGGATTGTGAGTCATAAATACAAGATTTTGTGCTACAGCATCTGATTATGTTGCTGCGTTTACCAGTAATCGATGACAATGCTGACGTTCCTGCGAATACATGTTATTTATTAGCTTGACCACAGTTCAATATATTTTACCACCGATGTTTCTGTTATGCACCACGCCGACTCTCCGATTATGCTATTATAAATATTTTAATTGCAATTTTCCTATTCATTCAAAAATATTTGACTCACTATTAAATTTCTTTGACTTGCTGAAGAGAAGGCTAAAAATAATATTTGAAACAGAAAAACCTCCAACCATAGTGACATCGTGAAATTTTCGATTATATTTTCTCTGAATTGCAAACATGCATTTTCGCCGCCATTAGCTTGATGTTTTGTGACTGTTTGACGCGCCAGGAAAATGTTCATAACGGCGATGGCTGTGACATCCTGCCTTTTTTTTCAGAAATAACGCCAAAACTAGTGCCATCGGTGGCTGGAAAGACTAGCAGCGTATCTGACGTTAAACGCGTTAAACATAACAAATTAAAAAATGAATTACATTAATGAAATAATTTTGACCATATTTTAAAAACTATATTGCAAAAGAAGGATAATTAAATATTAAAATTTTCCCTATAATGTATAACTATTGCAATATGAAGTTTGTATTTTTTCCATTTGTCACTCATAAAAACAATTAAAAAAATTTCAGCGTGGCTATTTTTCCTGAAAAATTTAGTATGTTTCTTTTCCCACCAAAGACAAAGAGCAGGCAGGCCTACTTTTCTCACCCCTGAACGCTTGCCCATGTGCAAATTGTCTAACCTCCGTTTCCGTGTATGAAAATTCATTTCAGATGGAATTTATACAGACCATAAAATTAATTGAAATGCTCCGTCGTGTTTTTCATCCGCGCTCATTGCCCTTTCAAACAGGAAACTCTTTCTTTCAGACAACTTTTAGACGCTCGCGCGTCAAAGGGCCCCGAGGCGCAAACTTTAGAAAAGTCAGCAGCTGTCAAGAAATGCAAATTCGCTGTGGGGGGGAAGGGCGGCCCAAAACGACGTTTAAAACAAACACAGACGGAGAGGAATATATTCCTCATCACGCGACACAAAAACGGCTCGGCCGCCGCCGCAGAGAGCAAAGATAGTGAAAGCAAGAAAAGAGAAAAGGCGCTTTTGAGTGGTCGGCCCCGAGGGAGAACTCGGGCGAGGGTGTTAAGAAGAAAAGAGGGCGGGAGCGAGCGAGCGAGCAAAACTCACCGAGAATGCCGAGTCGATAGTTGATGGTGACGAAGACGACCCCGCCGTAGCTGGCGAGCACCGAGCCATCGTAAGGGTTGCCCGAATTCCACTCGAAAGACTCGCCATGGATGTAGACCATCACCGGGTATTTGCCTTCGGCCTCTCTTCCTCCGGCTGAAACAGGCGGGCACATAAATTATTACTGCACTGCACTCTTGTTTGCCGAGACTGATGTATGGCGGGTTGCTGGCTCAGCAATAAAAAAGAAAAACGAAAACTCGAGGGTCACTCCGGCCAGATCTCAACAGATTATCCGGCCGGAAAAGGAGAAGCTGCACCGCACACTTGCGATGATGAAAACGGATCGCCACCGATCGGAAGCGAGTTTCGCCCGCCGCGAAATAACAAATTGCGGCCATTTCGCCTTTTTACTTACATACACAGTGCGCTGCTTTTAAACAAGCGCCATCAACCGAAACGGCGGTTCTTCTACTTTTTTATGTACGTCTGTGAGCACCAAGTGCAAGCGATGTGCTTTTCAACTAACTTTCCCTGCGCCAATGTTGTGAGAATCACTTTAACTTTTCCAATATAATTCCCCAGATTTAACGTTTGGAATTCAGATGAATCTCTCCTTAAGTACTGTTTGCGAATTTAATCTCGGCTTACAAGGGAACACCACCAGTTTAACCGATTATGGTCTAATATACATCATGCATTGATAGACGAGAAGATCACTTTCAATATTACAAAACGTAAATTTATTTTGTATCTGATTTCCAATTTTATCTTATCCTTTTAATTTTAATAATTTTTGTTAGATTGTTTCCTACTTTAATAATTTTTTTCTTTGCAAAGTCTCTTGAAAATTATTATTTTTAAGAAAATAAATTACACGAAATTTGATACCAGACTGTGGAATAATGAAAGAATTAATAGGTAATAGTGCGTATCGTCGTTTTGAAGTTATTGTTTAACAAAAGCGATTTGGATTCACTAAAATTATATAGATGATTGCGTGGAAAGCTGCTCATGTCAAATAATTAATGTTTAAAAACCATCAATATTTAGATTAATTTTGATATACAGTTAGAATTCTAAAATATTGAGAAATTCAGTGTATCCACGATAATTAAACTGGAAAGAAATTGACAATATATTAACATTGAAAAATAAAAATTTCTATTAGAATTTATTTTAGGAAGTACAAAACTTTTGAAAAAAAAAAAAAAATTATTTGGTTATTACATTGAATGTTTAAGGACGCCTTATTGACATAGTCAAATCAAGTCTTTACAACAATGGTTTATTATATTCCCAATAATTGCTCAAAATGGCTTCTATTGTTGTAAAGACTTGATTTGACTATGTCAATAAGGAGTTCTTAAATAGCTTTTAACGGATAAATATTGTTACTTATATTTTTAAAATTTATTTTTCTTGGAAATTTTTATTGACACTCAAAGTTAATAATTAAAAAAATAAATAAATTTATGAATGAACTGACCAGGGATTATTGCTTACAATTAGGGCGCATGGGACAACGGAAAGTCCACTGTAGCTAGTGAATTCGGAGAGAAATATTTTGATGACCAATGCGCGGCCTATCAGAATACAAAATTAAGATATGAGGATTCCGACAGAAAAGTTAATTTTTCTGATAACCGCTGTTCCAGGCTTTAGTTTGTTTCGTAATTGATTCAATATCCATATATATATTTTTTTTAAATTGATCATCAATCAAATTTAACTTTCTTACGGCAATTTATAATTTTGACGTCAGTTTTGGTTAAATTTTACTTTGTTTCTTTAATGTCACCAAATTGTTACAAACATATAAAATAAATAATGTGAAACTGTAAGCACTAATTATAAGCAGTCTAATAGTGTCTGAGGATTAACTAAAATTTTCTTCACCTCCATGATCATCTCCACGAGTGTCAATTTCTTCAAACAAATTTTACATAACTGTTCTATTTAATAATTTATAGTCATAATTTAAATTATTTTCTAAGTAGCATTCTCAACCCATTTACATTCATGACATTCCATGATGTCATGAACTGCATTATTTTGGGTTTCTCTAAAATCACAATAAAATCGAGTTTTGGAAAAATTTATCATTCCAATTTTCCCAGCTAATTTTTACTGTAATTGAATCTGTTAATACCGATTGTTGGCGTTCCCTTGTAAGTTTAAGTGAATAATAATAATAATCCGTAAGTCCATCATTTATTCCGCCCTCATTCCTTCGCTCCATGACTCTAGTCTTATTACGGCAATTGCGAAATTTGTCTTGCGAACTCTGCAGCGGGTTGTGCAACCAATGGTCATTTGTCATTCACTCATTCTGGAGGCGTGCCTAATTGCTCCAACTTTCAACCCGCTGGCTGACCCTCGCTCGGCACAAGCAAGCAAGATTCAGCAAAGATTGTTTCGAGTGCCAACTAGCAGAATGCACAGCTTTTGAAATATCACTTCATGTTGACATGAAAACTGGCATGCAACGAACGCTGCCTCCTCGAACATGCCGTGCCCCCATGTAAATGTCAATCCCGCCGACGGTTTTTCACTTTTCTAGCGAAACACAAAACACAATCTTGCTGATACGAGACGAATTGTATAAATGGCTTTTGATATGGAATCCGCTTTAATGTGTTCGTGAAACAAAATTCCGTGGAATAACGCAAGGCAATAAAACAAAAGAGACGGAAAAATTCTCTGCAAGTCCAAATGTGAAATTTAAGACCGACCTATTTTTTAATATTTTGTTAAAAACAAGAAATGTGTTAGCAGCAAAACGGCCACAGTATAAAGTTTGAGGCTCTGAACTGCAAGAACCGAATGATTTTTTACTCTGGAAATCACGTAACTGATAAAAATCAACTTTTAATGCTTAAATTTGACACTAAAATGAACTTAAACAAGAATTCTATTGAGTAAAACTTTGAAAAATACTCAAAAATACATAATTTTATATTGAAATCATTATTTCAAAGACCTTGTAAAATAGAATTTTGCAATCATTTTTAAAATGGCTTGCACTTTGATCAGCATTTGATATGAAATATGTTAAAATTTTAACAGTAAAATTGAAAAAGGTAAAAATAAAGTAAAATAAAATTTCCGATATCATCCTTTATGACGTATGATTATATTTTTTGCAATTTTGATTAAAAGCTGATTTCATATTATCAGACTTGTACAATCAAATGAGCTTTAACGCAAAACCTCACCATCATTATATGAGAGATAACTTTGGCAATTTGGCCTGCTTACAAAGGGTACCAAAATCGCCTTTGAATTTTCATTTTCGACAAACGATCGTTTAGCTTTTGGACAGTGCTGGCGGGCTCGTGTCACTGTTGCGCGTTTAATCCTCTTAAATTTCCCCCGCTACCCACTGCTTTCCACCTCTGACCTCTGATCATCTGTTTCGGGGAGGCAGGCAACCCGCATTGCACGTCAGGCTGACTTAAACCTCCCTGCACGTCAAAACACGGAATAATAGATATAAAATATCAGGAAAGTATGCAAATGGGCTTCGGGAAAATAGATCACCCTCGTTAGTTTGATTTATCGACGAAGGCGAGCGCTGCGCTCTCGAACCGCCTCTCAGCTCTTTCCGAATATATAAATAAACAGAGGTATAAAAACGCAATAAATTTTTATCGCATAAATAACGGTCGCGCCATTCGTCATGCGGCTTAACAAGTCTCGGCCGAGGTGTGTGACAAGTGGATGAGTCGCGCCCGCAAATATAATCAAATGCAGTCACGCCACTCTCGGGGAGCAACATACACATTCATAAATATGTGATGAGCACCACCGGTGTATCTCTTCGCGCTTTTTGATCAACGTGATGTTTCGGGATTTCATCGCGCGCCTCTTTTGACGCGAATCATTTTCAAAACACACGAGGGTTGTCGGTTTGTTTTTCGCCAACATTTTTCGGCGATTATGATTGGGAAATGGCGGGCGGAAAAAGAATCTTTTTTTATCTCGTGTTGTGTATGTGCGCTGTCAGCCGAGTTGTATTTTCGCGATTTAAATTCGGATGATATCGCGCGCTCGTGTGCCGCTTTTTCCCCCCGAATTGATCGTCCGTCGCAACTCGTGGGTGATGAAATGCCGCTGCACGCGTTTTCGCCGGGCTGATATTTATTTCCTGCCGGCGTTTAACATTCGATGGATGGAGCGCCAGAAAGAGCGCAGTCGGAAAACGAGGGGTCGTAATTAATTTTCTGCGTGTTGTCCGCACATTTGGCAATCTCTTTTTTACCTCGTGTTCGCGCCGGCTGATTGAGAGCAGCACGAGAGAGAGTGAGAGAGGGGTTGATGAAAAACTTGCAAACAATTTGTTTGATGGAGGTCGCCGTGGGCCTAATTGATTAACTAACACGCGTACCCGTTTCTGTGTTTGCGAATCACATTAATAGAGTGTTGATGTTTTCAAACAAGTTACAAAAAAATAATACACTAAATTAATGGGAAAAATGGGAATAAGCACAAATTCCAAACTGTTTATTCAATTAAAATCATTTAAAGTCTTTCAGTAGAATTTGGAAATAAAAATTAAGATGTGCAAAAAGCATCCAATTAAATACACTACCTCCTTTTTCTTCATATTTAAAAAAGGAATAGTTTTATATTTTGTGCGAATACTATTTCGCTATTAAATTGATTTTAAAATGTACCATAATGAATAAAATTAAATCAGACAAGAGCCAAAATTATGTAATTACTAAGAACATATTTTACCCATTAAAATTGTAAAAATTTTAGTTCCATCACTTGCGTCTCAAAATAAAAGTTGTGATAAGTGCAAATTTTAGGTTTCTTTTGTTACATTGTTACAATATACTGCTTAAATCCAATAGTAGAAAGCAATTTATTAAATTTATTTTTCTAATCTTTCATGTATCACGTTAAACTGTGATTTTAAATTTTTCTGATAACATGAATGTTATTCAAATTCCAGATCATAAATTCAATCTCGATCAATCATTTTGCAACAGTAAAAAATAATTATCGAATGTTTGAAAATTTTGAATCTCGCTACTAAAAATCACAAAAGATAATTTTCATTTTTTGTTTTTTTGCTTCGTAAGAACAACAAAAAGTTTTGTGATGATAAAACTTTGGGAAAAAACAAGCCGATCAATACTTGGGTT